CCCCCCCCCCCCCCCCCCCCCCCCCCAGCTCTTAGCTACTGTCTAGTCTAGTTCTGTCCCCAGGAATTTACCTGGTGAATCACTTGGTACTGGCTATTCACTAGCTTCGAGGTTAGGGAATGTGTCAAAATCTCAGTCCAAGGAGATGGCTTGAAAGCCCTTGCCACACACGCCTGGTCTGGTAATGTCTGTGACTCCTGTGCTCCTATGACAGGTTGGGAGGCAGAGACAAATCAACTTGCACACGCAGACACATGCAGAGAAATAGAGCAGCCTTAGTTTCGTTTCCTTTCTATGGCTGAGTGTCACCCATTGTGTGTTTGTGGCACGTTTTTAATCTATCCAGCTGTTGAGTTCTTGTGGGTGAGGCTGTGTGCGTGACCTACAGTACGCTGTGGGGATGAGAGGAACTCAAGTTCTCTCCGTCCTGCTTGTGGAGGCAGGCTCTCTTGTTTTTCTGCTGCTGCACTGCATATTCCAGAGTAGCTGGCCTGCAAGCTTTTAGGTATGCTCACCTCCCCGCCCCCTCCCCCTGGGGTGGCAGAGGCCGGGCCGGCCTCTGCCGAGTCAGAGTACAGGCTGAGTCTGCAGGCCACCGCTGGAGTTGTGTGTTTTAGCCGCTGTGCGCATGGCTGCCGTGAGCACAGCAGACAAGGACACAGTCAGGACCGTGCTTTCACTGGGGTTCCTGTGCCTTGATGTGCACTGGATGACATGCCAGCCTCCTGTTGGCACTTGTGAGAAACTGTCGGGCGTTTTTGAGTTGCCGGCAGTAGTGTGCACAGATTCTCTGGCTTCTTGCCGTGGTGGTGACTTTGATTGGAGACCAGCAGGCAAGTGTGATGCACTGTTCTGCATTTCCGCGACTGTGGATACTGAGTGACCTCCTGAGAGTTTATACTCTCGGTGCTGGCGGGCCGCTTCTGCATCTCAGAAGAATGCCTCTCAAGTCTCTGGGGTTTTTTTGTTTTTCAAGACACTTTTCTCTGTGTAGCTTTGCCTGCCTCTGCTTCAGGAGTGCTAAGATTTACAAGCGTGCACCCCCACACCCGGCTTCTGTTGTCTTTCTTAAATTTTATTTTACACTTGCTCTGAATGGTGGCCGGTGCAGGTGTGTTGGCAGACATCACACATGTGTGGAAATCACATGGTAGCCGTAGGAGTCAGTTCTTTCCTCCATGTAGGGCCTGGGAACTGACGATCAATGAGCTGTATCATCACATCAGCCTTTTTTTTTTTTTAAAGATTTATCTTTAATTATGTGTATGTAGGGAAGGGAAGTATGAGCTCATGAGTGCAAGTGTCTGTGGAGGCCAGAAGAAGATTTCATGTTCCCCTGAAGCTGGGGTGAGAGCTGATTGTCAATCTCTTGATACCAGGTGCTGGGAGCCAGATTAGGTCCTCTGCCAGAGTAGTGCGTGTGCACCCGCCGCCGAGCCCTTGTTCTGCTTTCCTTCTGCTTTCCTTCTGTCCTTTTTTCTTCCCTTTGATGGGTGCTAGGGCTCTAACTGGGTGACTCTGGCTATCCTGGAGCTTGCACAGTTCTAGTTGCCTTCCCTCTCAGATTTGGGGATTAAACCACCACCCAGCAGGGGATTCGTAAAGGTCATTCACTGAATTTTTAATAAGCTGTAAGCCCTGAAAGGTGAGACATTCACAGTTGTATCCCAATCGCCTGGAACATATGTAGCATGTCAGAACATGATTGGAACTGATGTACATATGTGAAATTGGGGCACTTCCTGTTTGTGATCTAAGGTTTTCTAAGATTGTTGGCAGAGATGCAGAATCCTGGCCATTGTTTTGTGGCTGTGGCATGCTTGCTTTTGCAAGACAGTGCTACAGATGAAAGATCTCCCCTCCTGCAACCCCCAACATGGTTGCACATCAGATACTTACATTACAGTTCATAACAGTAGCAAAGTTACAGTTTGTTATGAAGTAGCAACAAAAGTTTTACGGTTGGGGACTGTACTAGAGGGTTGCAACATTAGGAAGGTTGAGGGTTGCTGGCCTAGAGCAATGTATGTTTTGGGAACATGCTTGGTCCCTGACTCCCCCTGCTTTTGTTTTTGTAGGGCCACCATACACCCACCCGAGGAGGCCACAGAAGATGGTGTACTACGGGAAGATGAACTGCCACAGTGACTATGAGAATTACATTGAGATCGTCAAATACGTGCTGAGAGATTACAAGAGAGAGTCCCCCCTTATCATCAACACGATGGGCTGGGTAACGGGTAAGCATGGACACATGCTGCCAGTTTCTGGGGTGTCCTGTGGTGTTTCCATATGTCTGTGCTGTAGTGCTCAAGTGAGGGTATGCATGGGTAGACTGTGGCTGAGGGCAGCCACCACTACCTCCCAGTACAGAGAAGAAAGGCTTTTCTCATCATGGTCCATTTTCTGCTGTGCTGAGGAGCAAACCCGGGACCATCATGCTGAGCCAGCATTCCACCAAGTGAGCCACAGTTCTAGTTCCAGGGCTTTTGGGTTGTTGCCTATTTTACTTCACTTTATTTATTTACTTACTTATTTTTGGTCTTTCAAGACAGAGTTTCTCTGTAGCCCTGGCTGTCCTGGAACTCACTTTGTAGACCAGGCTGCCTTTGAACTCAGAGTTTTGCCTACTTTTGGTGTGCACCACCACCGCCTGGCTTTTGCTGGTTATTTTTTAATTACTGGACTGCTTTTCCTGTTTTGTCAAACGCTGCATGCAGTGCTCGTGGAAGCCAGAAGAGGGCGGCAGATGTCGTGGGCGTGCATATGCTGCCTGTCTTCATGCTGCACTGTGCTGACATGTCTCCCCTCACAGATGATGGGCTGCTGCTGATTGTGGACCTGATCCGACTGCTGTGTCCCAACTACGTCGTTCAGCTGTCTTCTGGTCGGGGTAAAAAAATGCCGGGCCTCACTCCTGAATACATAGATTTTACAGATGGCCTGTATACAAAAAGCAAGATCAGAAGGAGATACCGAGGTTTTGAAATACCAGAATGTGGAGACAGTTTGGAATTTACTGATGAAGAGAAGGACTCTAGTCCAGTTGCAGTCTTCACTGGACATAAACTGTTATCTGTTCACTCAGAATTTTTATGTAGTAAAAATGAAAAAAATAGGTAAGTGAAGTATCACTTGGGTGGGGAATGGAGCTTCCTACAGTGGGCCAAGGGTTTTGTTCTCAGTTATTCGGGAAGACTGAGTCCTGCAGCTGATCTTGCTGGCTCTTATGTGTCACCCCATCACCTGGGAGACAAGATGGGCATCGTGAGTTCAAGGCTCTGTAAACAAACACAGAGAATAACTCTGCTGAGACTTTCAGGTTTCCACGGCTACACATGAAAGGAGGGTGTTTCCTGCTGGGAGTGTGCAGACAGGCCTTCTAGTTCTGCTGACCAGTGCCAAGGGGCCTTAGGTTTCCTGTTGTTTGAAAGACTGAGAGCAGGGTTTTAGGTGGAGAGTGTGCATGAGTGTGTACATACATGTGTGGCTGTAGTGAGGGCATTAAACCAGGGTCTTGGACATGCTGGTATTTCTCTAACACTGAACTATGTCTGCAGCCCTAGCATTTGGGAACATCTTGAAAGAGCAAGGTCTAGCATGCTAGCTAGTGTGAGGTGTGATATTGTCCTGTGTGAGGTGTGCTGTCGTCCTCTGCTCACCCTGCTCTGCTCTACTTTTCAGGGCCAAATACAACAAGATTTTCCGAGATCTGGCAGTGTTAGGCTACCTCAGCCAGCTGAGACCTCCAGGGCCAGCGCCACTTGGTCTTTTGCACAGCCTGACACCCTACCAGGTAATCAGAGCTGTGGGAGAAATTATCTGATACGGGTAAGATGCTGGAGACTTCCGGTGTCCTGAGTGCTCTGTCTACTGCTGTATGACTCTTTGCTTGCCTAATTCTCAGAACATCCCTGAGGTGTGGGTTTGTATGTTATTCCCATTTCACAGATGGGAAGACTAAGGATCAGTGAGGCTGGGTTGCTTAGCAGAAGATGCAGAGCTGGTATTTGGTCCTTGGCAGGCAAGCCCACCGTCTGCCGTGAATTGTGGCTTCATGTTAGCTCTAAGTTATCTGACCTGGTGGTCACTTTTGCACTTCCAGCATTTGCACTTTCCAGCCGCATGAGGGCAGTACCCGATGTCTCAGGATGCTGTTGGGCTCCATGCCCCTTCCTGGCAGTGTGGCACCTGGAGCACTTCTCGTGCACCTAGTTATTCCTGTTGGGCTCCAACACCAACGCCTTTACAACTCCTGGGAATCGCTCTGGGAGCCTTGTGGTGTCAGGTTCTAGGGTGCTGGAAATGGTGAGCAATGATTGCACCAGAGCCTTTCCGTGCAGTGTGTGGACACTCGGCCCAGTCTTCTCGTGCCACACGCGTGTGCACATACACACACAGTCTTAGGTCACTTCTCTATTTCTGTGACAAAACACTATGACCAAGGCAACTTGTAAAAGACAGAGGTTAGTTGGGCTTACTGTTCCAGAGGCTCAGAGTCCCTGAAGGCAGAGCAAGGTGTTAGTAACAGAAGCAACTGAGATACCTTATCTTGATTCACAAGTAGGAGGCAGAGGCGCACCGAGAAATGCCTCAAAGCCCACCCCCATGACACGCCTCCTCCAGGGCCACACCTTCTAATCCTTCCAAAGCTGTTCCAGCAACTGAGGACCAAGAACTCACACTTAGGAGCCCATGGGAGCCATTGTCACTCAAGCCACCAACAGACGTGTGCAGCAGCAACAGCAGCTTGTTTTGTCTCGAAAACCACAAGGAAAAAAAAAAAAAACGGCGTTGAAGACAAAGCAAGGGCTGTCAGCATACATCTTCAAAGCAGAACAAGAGCGCCTTAGCCTTTATACATGAGAAAGCTGTTGTGGCGTGATTACCTGGATGTCTCTGGGGAAAAAAAAGTCACTTTGTGTTTGTCTGTGGAACCAGGTGGCCAAGCCCTAGATCTCCATGCTCTGCTCTCTCTACTCTTGTCCTTTCGAGGGTTAATGAAGATGATGGGCAGTTTTCACTGGGTTTGCTTTTAAAAAGAAAGCAAATTCATATTCACACAGCCAGTCAACACTGCAGGCCCCAGAAGGACAGCTGGGCTAGGACTGGAATGGCAGTGCCAGCTGGCTCTCCCACGGCTGCCAGCGCCTGCTGGGACACCCCTCCAGCTACATCCTCGCTGTCCTGTAAACTGTGCCTTAGGGTGGCTTTACATATCCGTAGCTCCTTGATTTGTCTTGGTCTAAGCCTGAGCAGCTCTTTCCTATTCAGTCTACAAAGAAATGTCCTTACAGCCTGCAGGTTGACACTGCTGCTAGTGTTTTCACCCCCTGGTTTTGTTTTTAGGTTGAGGAGAGAAAGGAGTGAAGATAGTATGGATAGAAGTACAGAAAGAAGGGAAATACATAACCCAGGTGCCTTGACCCTCTGGTCTTCCTGCCTCTGCCTGCCACGTGCTGTGAGAATAGGCACACGGCACCACACCCAGTGTTTTGTGGTGCTAGGGTAAGCCCAGGGCTTCCTGCATTTTAGGCCATTCCCTAATTTGTGCTTTCAAAACCTAGATTTTGGGGGGATATGCTGGAACATGCCTCTAACTGGGCAAAATAGAGACAGGAAGACCCCTAGGGTTTGCTGGCCAGTCAGTCTAGCCAAATCAGCAAGCTTTAGGTTCAGTAAGAGAGCCTTTTTCTCAAAAAGATCAAGGTGGAGCCTCATGTGGTACCCTGTTGGATCGCTGCTTTGATCCTGTTCTATACATCAGAACTCCAGACAAGCCTGGGCTACATAGTGAGACTGTCTCAAAAAAAAAAAAAAAAAAAAAATACAAAACAGAACAAAAATAACATGTAAATCAAAAGGACATGGAGAATGATGGAAGGGAAGGTACCTCTAACTCCAGAGGCAGAGGCAGAGGCAGGCAGATCTACAGAGTGGGTTCCAGGACAGCCAGCGCTACACAGGGAAACTGTTTCAGAGGGAAGAAAGGGGGGAAGCCAAGGCACTGGATTGCACGTTTGAGGCCCACGTGGGCTGTACAGAGTCCGTGTCTCAGGAGGAGACCTCTGAGTTGAAGTTAACCCAAGAGACACGCGTTTGTGGTTTGTTCTCAGGTGCCCTTCAGTGCGGTCGCCATCCGGGTCACTCATGCCGATGTTGCCCCTACCCACATCTTATATGCTGTGAACGCAAACTGGGTTGGCCTTTGCAAGATTGTGGATGATATGAAAGGATACACACGGGGTCCCATCCTGCTTGCCCAGAACCCCATTTGTGACTGTTTGGGCTTTGGTGAGTTGAGAGTACATTATGCCTCCTACCCTGTCCAACTCTCTGTACTCAACTGGCCTTGACCTTGTAAGTTGTATTATTTGGTGCCAGGCATAATGAAACACCTGTGCTAGAGAAGGTAATGTCCTCTGTGTGCTCCCAGATGGTAGGTCTTCTACATTCGTTACAGTTATCTAAAGCCTGTTCTGTTAGCTGAATGGGAGGACGGACAGGGTTCGGCAACCCTCGGAGACCAGGGGTGTTGTGTGTTGGGTTATAAGATGCCTGAAGGTGGTGCTGAGAACTGAACTCGGGTCCTGTGGGAGAATAACAAGCTCCCGCAGCTTTGTTGAGCCTTCTTACCAGCTCCAGAATAGAGCTGGGAATAGAATTGTGAGTCACCGTATGGGTTCTAGAAATAGAACCTGGCTCCTTTGCAAGAACAGCAAATGTTTTTAGCTGCTGAGCCATGTGGTCACCCATGAATTAAAGATTAAAAGGCTTATTGTGAAGGTTGACCTCACTTCCCGTGTTGGGTACGTAGCATCTGCGCAATGACTGCTGTTGCTCTGTGTCTTGAAGGTATCTGCAGAGGCATTGACATGGACCAGCAGCTCTATCACATCCTCACCCCTTTGCCCCCCGAAGAGTTAAAAACTGTGAACTGTCTGCTAGTTGGCGCCATTTCCATTCCACACTGTATTTTCAAGAACCAGGTGAGTCTGTGTGGGACACGCGTGTGGGAACCTCGACAGGAAGTGCGCTGAGGGCAGCAATCAAGGCAGCAGGTCCTTTGGGAGACATGCACATGATTATGTGGCTTGACTGACACAGATGGGGTGTTGAGGGCCTCAAAAGGTTCAAGTCAGGAGCTCAGGTAGGCCAACAATAGAAGGTGTGAAGGCAGAGGTGGGCTCCATGGGACTGCTCTCCTGTGGACAGTCTTGTTTGTTTTTGAGACAGGGTCTTACTGAGAAGCCTTGGTTGACCTGGTACGCAATTTGTAGGCCAAGTTGGTCTCTCCAAGTGCTTGACGTAGACAGTCTTTTGATGCACTCTGGGAAGGCACAGTGGCGTTCATCTGCATGGCCCCAAAGCCAGTGTAGGCTGAGTAGGCAGAGGTCCTGCTTGTGTGTATCCAGCGTCTCATGGTGTTTGGTGTATGTATGGGATCAGACTAGTCAGATGAAATGGAGGCATGTTTGTGGCTGGCTGGCTTGTTTGCTCAAGAGGTCCTTTAAAGAGTGTGGTGCTAAGAACTCGGTGCTCTTGCAGAGGACCTGAGGTCAATTCCCAGCACCCACAGGACGCATTAAAGTTTAAAAAGAGAATGCTGGTGATGATGGCACACTACCTTTAATCCCAGCAATCAGGAGGCAGAGGTAAGTTGATTGCTATGAGTTCAAAGCCAGCCTGGTCTATAAAGTGAGTCCAGGACAGCCAAGGCTACACAGAGAAACCCTGTCTCAAGAAACAAAAAGAAAGAAACATTTTAAGTGTCTGAAGCATCAGAGACTTGCTGCCCAGCTGCCTCAATGCTGCCTTCCAGTTGGGAGAATCCGCCTGTGTGTCGATGTTGCTGTCCCCGTCCCATCCCCCCCCCACACACACACACACACACAGGTGCCTATACTGTTTCTTTGTGTTTTCATTTCAGCCTGGGCCCGAAGGGACAATTCCTTACATCACCACCAATTATAATTTTAAACTTCCTGGAGCATCAGAGAAAATTGGAGAAAGAGAGTATAAAAATGCATTGGTTGGGTATAGATACTATCGAAGAAAATAAAGCCTTGATACAGAGAAAGACTTTCTACCTGGACACATTGTCCCCAAGCCTCCAGTCAGCAGACTTAATGGGGCTTTGTGGCTGTGGACATCATGCTCATGTCCATTGTTCCTGTTATGGGAAGATGTGCTACGCTGAAAATAGTTCATGCCCCTCCATTTTTCCCCTCTAAGGAGGGTCTCATGTAGCTCAGACTGGCCTCAAACTCTGGGTCCTCGTGGCTTCATCATCAGAGTGCAGCGTTACAGGTCTGAGTCACCACACAGGCCTTCAGACTTTTCTCTTAGGCTGTTTGATCTCAGACTTAGCCCTGGACCTCCTTACAACTGGTCAGCCTGCAGAGCTATCCAGCAGTGAGGAAAGTTAGCATCGTCGTGAGAACAGGAAGAGTCTCGGAATTCTCCAATGATCGTGGAATAGGGATCAAATTAAGGAAATGGGGCCACAAAAATGTGCCAAGAACAAGGCAGCAGGCTGACCCACAGGTTCTCGGGCACAGTGCACAGCTGCCTGGGATGAGAGTGAGGCTTAGAGCCACGTGGACCCTACAAATCAGGTGAGGTGATTCAAATGCCAGATCCTTTGCCATCGGATCTTTCAATTGTGTAGTCGGGTAATATTTGGTCTGTTAAATTCTGGGTCTTTTTAAATCATGAAAGTTTGCGTTGAAGACGTGCTCTGACATTGGGGAAGCCTCCAGGCAGTTCCTTAAGGCCGGGTATGCTCTGACTGACTCCTCCGGACTGACTCCTTCAAAGAGGCTAGAGATACTGCCGTGGGGCCCATTGGGCTATAAACAGACACAGTTGTGCCTGGCTTGGGCAAACCTTTGCTGCTAGCACTTTCTTCAGGGACCTAAGCCCACTGCAGCTGGACTCTAATGAGGAGTGACTGGTCAGTCATTTTGTGGTTGCAGAACACAGAGGAACTTGTCAAGCTGGATGTGTCAGTACTCTACCTTCCAACAGGATCATGTCCAAAGACCAAGGCAGTGGAAGGTTTAATGTCTGTTCACTTGCGCTGTTGATGATCTCCATCTTGTCTGTAGCCCTGTCACCCTGAGTGTGCCCAGTCTTGTCTGCTTGGCCCCATCTTTGTGGCACTTTGTGGTGGCCTTAGTGTCTGAAAACCTTATTAGGGGATAGCACTGCAGCTGCCTGGTTCATCTGAGTCCCTCTAGACCACGTAAGGATTCACAGACTAGCTGTCTTTTATCTGTGTCTAACATTAGCTTGTGTTGAGTCTTTGTTTGTGGGGCGGGGCCTCTTACCATGCTGCCCAAGCAGGATTCTGAGGGCTGCATCGATCCTCCTGCCTCTGTTCCCTGAGGGCTCAGATCTCAGATCTCAGCCTTGCCAAGAACTTTTAAGACAGTCTTCCTCCATGGCTCTTCTGCTTGTGTGCCCAGATCTTCTTGAATAATAATAATAATCTTCACAATAATAAAGATCCTGTGATACAGGGTTCACACTTGCTTTTTTTTTGAGACAGGGTTTCTCTGTTTTGGCTTGGCTGTCCTGGACTTGATTTGTAGACCAGGCTGGCCTTGAACTCACAGAGCTCTGTCTGCCTCTGCCTCCCTAAGTGCTGGGATTACAGGTGCCACTGTGCCAGGCGTTTGTGGTTTTTTTCTTTTTGAAAGGTGCGGTTTTAGCTTTTGCATGCTGACCTTCACGAGTCAGTCCTCACCAGTAAGGACCTGGGGCAGCAGTAGAGGGAGCTGTGGGCACTGATCTGGTGGCCTTGAGCAGACGCGGCTGCAACAGGACTCCTGGAGGGAGTCTGTAGAGCCTGGCTTTAGGAGACCTGCAGCAAAGCGTGTCCGTGTGATCAGATCACAGGCTCAGGGCATTTGGGGCAAGGAGGAGATTTGGCTCTGCCATTGTTCTGGGTTTTTCTGTTTTGAGACAGTATCTTGCTATGAACAGGCTGGCCTCAAGATTCATGCACAATCCTGCTTCAGTTTCCCAAGTGCTGGCATCACATCGCGTTTCATGTACGTGATTTCTCTTTAGATGGTCTCGTCCATTGCAGTCTTAAACTGTGGTTCATGTGTATGCTTGTTTTAAGAGCACTGCAGAACTGTGCTACAACACACCCCACGTTGCCAGTTTCTGTGGATCCTAAGAATCACTTTCTTGGAGTTATTTCCTCTTCTGGGAAGAAGGAAATTAACATCCTTAAGTGGTCACTGGAAATTCAAGACCCAAGAAAGTGGAAGTATAGAGGCTGTGGGAACAGGCCTGGTGCCTTGGATTGACTACTTTTCCAGAGTCTGGGAAGAGATGAGTGGAATAAATGAGGCCAGGATGAGGGCAGCTGCGGCCCTCTGACGTGGGCTTCCAGCCTGATCCATGGTGTGGAAGTCAGATGATGTAGGTAAAGGACCATGTCTCTGTCCTAGATCCGTAGGTGTGAGAGGTGCAGCTGGAGGGGCCCAGGGCTTTGCAGTGAACACCTAAGCCCATCCCCCCTCCTGCCTGTGGGTCTCTTTTTCCTTCACTCTCCCGCCCCATAGCATCTCATTCTTTGCCCAGTGGCCTGAACTCACTAATAATAGGACGGTGCTGTGTCCTCTGCTTCAGCTTCCCCAGGGCTGGGATTCCAGCTGGGAACCTCTTTTGGCCTGGTCTTGATTTTCTGTCCCTTCAGATTGGACGGCAGCATAGTGGACAAAGACATCCTGATATAATGTTGGAGCTGAGTGTGAACCATACTGTACCACTGAGGAGGAGGTCTAGCCAGGGTCAGGCAGGTGTCAAGGTTTTGTCCCTCTAGAAGGCTGGGAATGGTGTCCACATTAAGTGTCTGGACACACCCAGCCCCGTACCTGGCAGGCACGCCCTGTTTAGTGCTGCAGCCATGTGTCTGCCTGTGGAAATGGCAGTGCCGCGGCCACCACTGATAAACCACATCCTAAAAAGCCCCTACGTCCTACATACTGCTTTTAAAATTGTCTGTGGCCCCCAAGTACCCACTGCAAAGGTGGCACTGTGAATTCTGTGCGCGCCCACCTGACTCTGTGAGTTTCTAAAATCATTTCCCACTGTGTGCGGTTTCTAGCCATCGCTCTCGTTTGCTATGAACTTGATCATTAAAATTTTTGGAAACATTTTTGTATGAAGAGATCTTATTCCAGGTAATTATTTAAACAGGAAAAGCCATTGGGATGAAAATAGCTTTGAAGCGGGGCTAATGCATTCAGGGCTCACAGGAATCCCACCAGGCGTTTCCCTACCTGAGGCTAGAGTAAGGCCAGAGGACCTGGGGTGCCTGAGGGTCTTGCCTGGAAAGGACTGTGCACCAAGGAGAGTTCAGGGGTTTGGGTGGATTGCCTTGTTGAGACAGGATTTCATTCTGTAACCCTGGCTAGCCTGAGACTGGCTGTGTAAACCAGGCTGCCCTAGAACCCCTTCTCCCTCCCTCTGTCTCCCCAGTGCCAGAATTAAAGGTGCGCACCCCAGGACAAGAGACAGGGCTCAGAAGTTAAGAGCATTGCTGTTCTTGCAGAGGACCAGGTTCAATTTCCAGCCCCCGTATGGTGGCTCACAGCTGTAATTCCAGTTGAAGGGGAGCGGATGCCACTTCTAATCTCCACTGCCACGGGCACGGAGCACGTGCACACACATACACATGCAAGCAAAGCATTTTCAATCTTAAAAAGGCTTCTTTAAAAGGTTCCTACCCCTGCATCTGGCCAGAGGTCACAGTTTTGTTTTAACACAGTGACACCTAAACTTCAAGAGATACCTCAGGGAGAACGCAGCCCAGGGCAAGTCCGGGTTTCCCTGTCTTGGTGTGGCCTAGCAAAGAGA